AATCATTAACAAGAGATTTAGAGCTTAAATTTGGGAATTATATTAAGAATACTGCTGTTGAGGAATGCATTTATTTTCATTATGATATTTCAAAATTTAAAGCCCTTTGATTTTTTTTCTCTGAAACTGGAAAAAAATAAAACTTAAAAATATGCATATTCTAGATATAATTGCCTAATTTATTTTGCCCAAATTTAAATTTTCTAAAAAAATTACTTTTTGAGATATCCTTGTCCGAAAATTATAAGGGGGTGCTGTAATCACCTTAAAGCATGCGGTGGATTATTATTTATGTATGTTTCCATTAATTGTGTGTATAAAGGCCAATTTGCTTTCTTTAAATTCCATTTACTTTTAGGGTAAATTATATTATTAATTTTTGCGGTATTTTCGATGTCTATTTTGATAGCGAAGAAAGGCATAGAAAGGCTCCCAGGACGAGTTTGACAAGTAGGTTCGCCATTGTTCATTACTACTAAATCTAAATCATGTACAGTATTTAAAATTTGTTGACCTATAGAATCATTTTTAGCAGAACCCCAAATTGAATTATGCACATTCATATCACCTCCAATAATGCAAGGTTGGTTAATTTGTGAGAATAAATTATGCCAATCTTCAGTTTTAGTTTTGGTTTATGGACATCTGTAGACCGAGAGAAAATTTAAATTACTGGTCATATATTTTATTTTGATCCCACATGGGGGTAATTCATTATTAAAATTTTTATTGATCTCCAGAACCTCGAATTTAATATTTTTTTTAATAAATATTGCGCCTCCAGCATAACCGTCATCACGACTAAGTGATATCCCTGGCAAGGACTGAGAGGGCCCAAATCTAAAAGGAATACTGGGTGTTAGTGTAGGGGATTGAGGAGCCGGAGAAGTTGTCTTCCTTTTTACTTTCCTATGTGTATACAGATATAAGAAAATTTTTCGACCTCGACTTTTCGACGGATTTTTACGTTTTGAGGTCCCCTGAATCCGTTTTGACCATTTTCGCGATGATGTCTGTGTGTGTGTGTGTCTGTATGTCGCATAACTCATGAACTGATACACAGAAAAACACCTAATTTTAAACTTAGGCTTTATTCCAGCGTCTAATGAACAGATTAGATTTTGGGCAGAGTCGGAACATCTGGGGGGGTACTTTATAGGTGGTCATTTTTACATTTTATGGAATATATCTGTTATTTACGTTTGGAGAAGAAAATTCTTCAAATAAAAGTTACTTCTAATATAATTATCTATAATTTTTGTTCTATAAAAAATTTTCTTAAAATGGTCCGTATTCGAGAAATTTGACAAAATGTAAAAAAAATATTTTTTTATAAAAATTGTTCAAATAAAAGTTGTTTGTAATATAATTCTCTATAATATTTATTCCATACATAGTTTCTCTAAAATGGACCGTATTCGAGATATTTGAGAAAATGTATAAATTTCGAATTTTGAAAACTCAAAAACGGATAAAGAAAAAAACATTAAATTTTAAACTTAAGGTTTATTTCGGCCTGACGTGAAATGATTAGATTTTGGACAAAGTCGGAACATCTAGGGGGTACTTATGGGATGCCGTTTTTATATTTTATGGAATATATCTGTTATTTATGTTTGGAGAAGAAAATTATTCAAATAAAAGTTACTTCTAATATTATCTATAATTTTTATTTTATGTCAAAATTTCCTGAAATGGTCCGTATTCGAGAAATTTGACAAAATGTCCAAAATTCTGATTTTTATGAAAATTGTTGAACTAAAAGTTGTTTGCGATATCGATCTCTATAATTTTTGTTTATACATGATTTTTCTAAAATGGACCGTAATGGAAAAGTGCTAAATTTAAATTTTTCAGTATTTTCGTTTTCAATGAATATCTATAGAAAAATGTTTCGAGGTAGATGTATGTGGACAATGTATATATTTAGTTTATCCATTTATAGAGATGCTGCAATAAGGTTGTACAAAATAACCGGAAAAAGCCTATAATAACTAGATAGGAAAGTCATGTGTTGGACACATCAGATTATTTATTATTATAATGTGTAGTTGTTTTACTGTTACCAATCTGTGTTAAACTGTGTGTTTGAAAGTGAGGTTTACTAGATGATGATTGCGTTGAAAAAACCTTTCAGAATTATTATTGGGAAGTTTTGGAAAATCAGCTTCCAGATTTGATAAAACTGAAAAGTTTATTTTACATGTGAGCCCAGAATATGAAGATTCACAATATTTTTTAGCCTCTAAGAAGGACATTTTTTCTTCAATCATAATATTTTAAATTTTTTTTTGTTGTTCATAGTTGGGACATTTTTTAGAAATGGAAATGTAGTCTGTGCTTTTGCAATGTATACATAACATTTTCTGTTCAGTACACTGGTAATTGTCAGTCTTAACAGCACTACAACGTAGGTATGCATAATTCGTCAGTGCCTTTACACTGCTTGGAAATGTGACCGAATTTAAGGCATTTGTAACACTGTGTAATTCTACCAATAAATTTTTCAACTTGAAAATATACAAAATTAGCTGTTACAGAATTGGTAAGATGTTACCTTCAAAGGTAACTACGATAGTTTTTTTTTTGTACATACTCTATTTTTCCATCCCATTCAATCTTTCGGTGCAACCTTTTAATATCAAAAATACTAGAAGTCATGTTTTCTTTTAAATATTCAATGTCGTATTTTGTATCAACATCTCTAATTAAACCTTAAATTCAAATTTATGCTGTTTGAGTTTCTTGAAGGTAAGGCCTTTTACTTTGTTGATGAACTTTTAGCATATTAATTTTATAACTTAAAATATATTTTACCTAATGTTAATTTTAACTGTCTTTTGTGTTAGTTTTCTGTATATTATATATTATCTTAGCTCTAGAATTTTAAACTTGTATGAATTGGACAGTGTGAATGGTGTTTTGTTTTTCTGTTCTTTGTATGGATGTACTGTGTATGAGCCGACTAGTCTGATAAGTTTTTTTTAAACATTGTAAAAATGTAAAAAAAATACTTTATTGACGAATAAATTCTATTCTAATCTACTCTAACCTGAAGTAGGTGATTCAGGATATACGCTTTTAAATTTTCTGTAATTGAGTGTTGGTAACTAATTTATTAGCATCTAATACAGACTTTAGTATAACTTTAATGCCGTTTCTACGGATACTTTTAATTTCTAAAATTTAATTTTTTATGTAATATATGACCTACTGTCATAGTGTGCAATCGGTGTATATTCTGTTCATTATTCCTACTTTCAATATAAATGCAACAATTGAGGAAATTGTACTTATCTGAATTAAGATTAAACAGTTTTATCTCTTTAGTTTTTTGGAGGTTGACATTTGTCCTATCCACATTCAGGTCCATTTCTTTATCTACATTGATAATTTCCCCACTAGCACTATTATTTAAATCACCTCCATTGGGGAGGAATATTGTTTTTAAAATAGCACAAATTATAAAAATTATTTAAAATTAGTGAAAGTAAGATGTTCCAAAAAGTTACCTGATAACAAAACTGGTATAATTGCTCACACACCTATTCTCTGCGAGTGTTTATCTGATACTGCATTTTTCCATTAATTTTATCAATTTTGTGGGAAAAGGAGTGTCAATAGTTATATTATTAAATATTATTAGGGCAAGAAAAATTATTAGAAATGAATTGCTGTACTTTTGACACTAAACTTTTTGTGCGACTTGACAACAGTGTAAGACGTAAAAGTAGCATCTGTGAGCTTGGATTTGAGACAATTTGTGACATATTTTCATTTAAAAAATGAATTGAGTAGTTATTGTTAATTTGCACAAGATATGGTACTAATATTTTTTGTTTGCAATAGTGACACCTACAAGAAGGTATGCTTATTTTCTTCATAAACGAAAAGAGCTCAAACTAGACAATGACCCTATTAGTCCAAGAGCTAGTAACACACATTGCATTAAGTGTTTGATGCACTTTGAAATTTTGTAATTTGAAATCATTTGGATGGAAAAGCAGATATACCTGTGTTGGTTAGACCCACCCCGGGACACCAGGTACTGCGCATAATAGAAAGGGGTTGTAAAATATGACCCAAAAAAAGTGTTTGATTCAGAGGCCAACAAACAACAATTGGAAGTTTAGGTAATTCTAAAAATACTAGTAATTTAGGCAGACACTTTTGAGAGGGTTTATAATTTTCCGGGGTTTAATTGCTGGCCAACATAAAAATGAATGAACCTCGTTATGCACCACTATGCATTGAATAAGTATATACTTTTTAAAAACTAAACATTTTAAATTACCAAGACTGTGAAATAATAAAACAATATTATTCCTTTTTTTTTTAGGAAAAAAAAGTTTCGGGGCTGAACCACCAACTTGCTATCCACACTATCCAAATTTTGATAGTGTGGATATAGCAAGTTGGTGGTTCGAGTCCGGAAACTTTTTGTTTTTTTTTTTTTTTTTTAAATGAATGTTTTATTATTTCACAGTCTTGGTAATTTAAAATGTTTAGTTTTTAAAAAGTATATACTTATTCAATGCGTAGTGGCGCATAATGAGGTTCATTAATTTTTATGTTGGCCGGCAATTAAACCCTGGAAAAAGTGTCTTCCTTTTTGGAATTAATTTTTTTTATATTTAATTAAGAGGCTATTAAAATTTCAGCGTGAATCAAACACTTTAAATCATATTTAAAAAAATCAACTTTGGGGTTGATTTATCAATTATAAACCCTTTCAAAAGTGTCTGCCTAAATTACTAGTATTTTTAGAATTACCTAAACTTTCAATTGTTGTTTGTTGGCCTCTGAATCAAACACTTTTTTGGGTCATATTTTACGACCCTTTTCTATTATGCACAGTACCTGGTGTCCCGGGGTGGGTCTAGCCAACACAGGTATATCTGCTTTTCCATCCAAATGATTTCAAATTACAAAATTTCAAAGTGCATCAAACACTTAATGAAATGTGTGTTACTAGCTCTCCCGCTATATATAATTTCTACCTTTTTGTTTAAAGCAACCCCGTCTTCGCAATCTAATGCAACACAGTCAGCATTAAGAGATGCTATTTTGTTAATTTTTCTCTCATCACTTCCAGGTACATACATAAGGGCTCTTCTATGTCTATAATTTCGAACTGAAAACTTTAAATTTAATGTTAATATTAGAAGTTATTATTGAATGAAAACTCACTTGTAAGAATTGTCTGCTAGTTAATTTTGTAATGTTTTCAAACATTTGTATTTTTTTAAATATTGTTGCCATACTTTATATACTGAGCTTTAACTGCAATAATTGTTTACGCCCAGTTCGTTACATAGACAAAATTATTTTATCTTATGATTTAAAGGTCTTTGCACAGTATAAAGATTATTACTATACTGTACTGTGGTCTTTATTTAAAATTTATGATTTTGATTTATTATTTTTATTTTCGGTTTTCTTATCAGTTTCGCCAACATAAGTACAAAGTTCAAAGTAAAACATAAGATAGGAACATACAGCCAACAGCCAAAAAAGGCAATTATACACGATTTGTCAAATAAGTCAAAAATATTAAGGACCGATTTCACCGTTGTGTTAAACGAAGTTTAAAATTATATTTTTACATTAACAATCATCATTTTAATCTCCGTATAAACACAACGGTGGAATCGGCCCTAAAGCGCTTGTTGTCTGGGTTTAGAGCTTGCAGTTTTTGTGGCCTGGTGAAATGTACATTCAAAATGTACAGTTTGTCCTGTTTGTCGAGGACCTTTTTACTGTGCATACATAGATCTGTGAACCTCAAATATTCTCAATATTTCCCAAGAGTGTTCAACTATTTACTAGACAGAATCGGGCAACAATATTTTTATTTAAGTTACATCCAAAAAATAATTACAAATACAAATGGTTTCAACAAGTGCCAGTTATTTGTTTGTGAAATTTTATATCCACTTTAAAATATGCCTGATGTGAAAGTTGGCAAAATTGTTCTTTAAACGAAATGTTGTCATATGTCTCCGATTGCGTCAAACAAGAGAAAATTGTGAAAAAGAAAACAAAGATTTGACATTTTGGTATGTAAGTTCTAATATTTTATAATTTATCAAATAAAAATATTAATCACATTTTTATTTCTTATACATTATTGCTACTGGAAGTTACTAAATAGTAAGTTTAAATAAACGTATTCTTAATGTGCTTTTAAATAACATTAGTTAAATGACAGTTATGAATGAATCAACTTTGGCAAATTGCGACTAAGCAGACTTTTTCTTCTAGCTGCCCATCCTGGACTAGAGCATGATAATTTTGATTACCTAGTTAAAAACAAATACAAGTCGAAAAATGAGTGGAGAAAATTATCCTAGATTCAGCAACAAAGATGAAGAAATTTTATATTGGAAGAATTTAGCTGCTGAGTACTTACAAGAGTAATAATACTATTATATATTATGTTTTTTTAACCCTTTTGATGCGCTGGGATATGATATACCTTGCTCTAGGGACATTTTAAATGATTGTTATAACTAATAATTTTGGAGTTCAGGTCTGAACTTTTAACTTATTAGAATTAATCATAAATAAGTACCAAACATATACAGCAAAAAGGAATAAGACAATGAAACTATGATAATTATGTAAAACCAATTGGTAAATCTTTTGCAAAATTACAAATCAATATTTTTTACATCCTCAGATAGTAGACAAAATTATTTTACACTACTACCAATAGGGTTAAAGGTAGTTATCAAAATAAATAACTTTTTGATTTATAACTTTCCCTTTCTTTTTCCAAAGAAAAATATATAATTGAGTCATATTCCATGTTAACTAATTTATTGATATGAGCAAAGCTACATGACAAAATTAACAAATATTTAGAAGAAATGGAATAAATTTAATTCATATTTAAGAACAGGAAGGTATTTATCCAAAAGTAGCTTAATTCATAAATTTCATATACAGTGGCCACAAATTAAGACAATAGAATAAGTTCTATTTACCTCAAACAGTTATTTGGATACCTTATTTTGAAAAATACAATTTTCTTAACCCTAATTTAATGTTTTGGCAGTAGATGAAGTTTTAACAATTGATGACAAACTGTTATATATCCTTGAGGTCAATTTATAAACTTGCAGTTCCATCGCCATTCTTGTTTGACGTTGCAGTCGATGTTGAACTTAAAACTTTGTTATTTTAAATGTGCAACAGCAAACGGTGAACTATGAGTATGTAATATCTTGAAATAAATAGTAGATGAGTGTATTATCATTCAAGCTCTAACGAATTTCAAAACGCAAATGAACTTTTAACCTAAGTGCAAGCTTGGTATATAGTAAAATATCAGGAGCATGTTTGGAATTGAACTTGATCATGATTTCGTTCCTGTTAAATCCCGTATATGCGTCAAATACAGAGCAAGTCAAAACTTGCCTGAAATACTTGTATGCTCGAACTCATTATCTTGCATGAACGCTTATTGACTTGCTGAGTTTTTCATCTTGTACGAACTTGAGCACGCTTGATAAATGAAATGGAAAATGATACTTGATACAAAAAATTAATTAATAATTAATTATTAATTAATAATTATTATTAATTATCAGTTAATATTTATCAGAAATTACGAGCAATTTTCGTGGATTTTTGCAAAATATTTACAAAATTTCACCACTGTGTTCCATCACCTCTAGCTTTGTTAATGCCAATAATTCTTTGGGATATTGTATTTACAAGCTCTTGAGAATCTTGTGCAGTGAACCCACCTCCATGTTTCTCGAATATTTGCTTTAATTTTGGTACTGATCTTGCAGGTGCCACATGCAACTGCTCATTCATTTTATACCATAATGGATATTCTAACAGTGAAACATTATTAAACCATGTTAACGCTTTTTTATCACATGCTGTGACGTTTTGTTCATCCATTTTTTAAATTAAATTGCCAAATTTAGTAAGTGCCAATTGTAACTGGAAAGGACAGGGCTCATATTTAAATTAATTAAACTCCTGGTGAATATAAGAATACATAAACGCTATATATACAATTATTGTTATGTACATTTTTCTATTTTTTTTTTTTTTTTGAGCCAAGGGGAAGATTATGTATTATTTTTATTGCTCTATTTTACAAATATTACAACGGCTGGTTCCTGTTCTGGATGCCTGTAGCCAGAGCTGTCACCTATCAGTGAGATTTAAATCATTTTTTGGTTTAAATACATTTTTTGATTTAAATACTTTGATTTTAAATCTTTTTTAAAAAAATGATTTTTGATTTATGATTTAAATCTTTCTGAAAAGTATCTTTGATTTTTAATTTAAAAATTAGATTTAAATCTTTTTAAAACGATTTAAATCTTTTTAAAACGATTTAAATCTTTTTAAAACGATTTAAATCTTTTTAAAACGATTTAAATCTTTTTAAGACGATTTAAATCTTTTTAAAACGATTTAAATCTTTAAAACGATTTAAATCTTTTTGAAACGATTTAAATCTTTTTATTGATTTAAATCTTTCTGAAATGATTTAAACCTGTAAAATGATGCGATCTTTTTAAAATGATTTAAATTTTCTTAAAGATTTAAATCTTTTTAAAACAATTTACATCACTTGATTCGTCAAAATCAACCTGTCTTTTCAATAATAATCTAGCCAGCATGTCAGTAGGGTTGAATCAGAAATAAAAGAGAAAAGAAAAACAAAAAATAGTAAAGTGTAACAAATAATTGCAATGTCTAAAGATTATTCTTAAGTATGATTTTTTGCAATATTTTTGACCAGATATTTTTTTTGTAAAGTTGTATTTTTTACACCGCAAGCAGCTGGAAATACTTTTTCATTATCGATATAATCCTGAAACTCTTTACATATGTATTTTAAATTTATGCACACTTTTATTTCAGATTTGACATTAGTTGCATTAAGACGATTATGACTTTTTGACCAGTTCAATAAATATGCTTGGCATAGAAAGAGCGAATTAATTAAATTTTTAATTTCCTTGCCTGATTCATCCACACATTCATCAAAACAATTAACCCAAACGTGCCTACTTTGGCTATTTATTTACTCGCAATAACTTCACGTTAAGAGAAGAACTCTTAATTCAACCCACTCAATTTCATTATTCATAGCCGGGAGATTTTGAAAATGAAATGCATTTTTCCGAGAGAGTCTCCTAAGTACAAAAAAACATATTTTTAAAGAGTCTGATGTATGTGCATCTGTGGGTGTTTATGTATGTATGACATTAAGCACGTTAACTCAAGGAAGAGTTGACGCATTTAAGAGATTTTTCAGAAAAAAAAATAACTTTTCTTAAAAACTAGGTCTCCATTGTTTTGTGGCATCATAGGCATACCAAAAGAATCTTTTAAAGGGTTGAAAAATTCCTATTTACCAATCAACATGACATTTTTAAATAACAATTTTCATAACTATAGATATCAATGCTGCATAAATCCTTAAAAAATTTATCTTGATCGGATATTTATTATTTAAAATTAATATTTCCGTAAGAATTGCATTGGGCTAATAACGATAAAAAATAAATACGAGAAAAGTATTCATTATCTATCTTTGGCATACCGAAAGCATTTTTTAAAGAGTTACCCAAATCTATAAAAATATTTAAATCTTTTGAAAAGATTTAAATCTTTCGAAAAGATTTAAATCTTTCCTAAAAATGATTTAAATCTTTCGAAAAGATTTAAATCTTTCCTAAAATGATTTAAATTGTAAAAAAAGATTTAAATCTTTCCCAAAATGATTTAAATCTTTCAAAAAGATTTAAATCTTTCCTAAAATGATTTAAATTGTAAAAAAGATTTAAATCTAAAAAAGATTTTTGATTTAAATCTTTTTTTTTTAAAAATCGATCTTTGATTTAAATCATTTGTTCAAATGCAAACGATTTATGATCTTTGATTTAAATCGTTTTTAAAATGATCTTAAACAGCTCTGCCTGTAGCTATAACTTATTTTTCCTAGTGCCCTTTTAGAAAACCTCAACTTAACAGTCTCACATCTCACAATGAAAATCTAGGATTTAGTAAGCCAGTTCTACAGAAGTAGTTTGTAAAAAAGTGATTCTGAATACTGTTTATTGTTTTATTCATATTTTTATCCACTTTGGTTATATGAGGCGTTTATTTAAAGAAAGGTCTCCAATTTTTTTGTTTTTCATAATAAATTATATTTAATTTCAAAGTATGTTACATCATTTGAAAGCTTAAAATCTAAGCTATTTTTCTATGTAATCGCCATTTTCTTCGATGACCTTCCACATCCGAATGACGAACTTTTGTATCCCCTCCTCAAACCAAAATTCCGCCGCCTCGCGCAGGAAGGAACCGACCGCTTCATGAACCTCTTCGTCGCTGGCAAATTTCATTCCTCGGATGTTTTTTAGGACAGGAAACATGAAAGCCACAGGGGGCGACGTCAGGACATGTTTCATCTGCTGACTATTGAATCAAGAAATTCTTTCCCTTCTTTTTCATAACTGGCGAGAAATTCTTGGGCAAATTTTACGCACTTCACTTTGTGTTCCGCGGTGAGCATTTTTGGGACCCATCTGGCTGATAATTCTCGGTATTGCAGATTATTCGCCAAAATTGAGTGCTGCATACGCCTTGAAGTTTTTCGGCCAGCTCATCAAGGGTCAACCTGCGATCTTCCAGCACAAACGCCTCAACTTTCTGTACTGTTCGACAGCCTGACACTTCACTCCTCATCGTGGACGTTTAGGAGGCCAGCAGAAAATTCTCTACACCATTTCGAACGTTTTTCACATCTATACACTTCTCACCATAAACCTTCTTCCAATCGACGATGAATTTCTATGGCAGGAACTTTTTTGCCTGTAAACATTTACCGTAACTCACACTTGGCGGGAACAGCGGCTCCTACGTCGACACTAAGAATTCCATGGAGTTCCGCCGGGTACTGTTTTGTGGAAGAGGGACAAACGTACTTTGGAGACCTTACTTTAAATACACGCCTCGTATCATTAATGTTGTATCATGAATGTTCATGTTTATATGCATGTCAGAGAAATATTGTAATGTATCTAAATATATTTTCAGTGCTGAACGGATACAAAAAGAATCTGATGAATTTATTCAAGAATCTCAACAGTTAGATAGGGAATATGAAGCTACTATTGATCAAAACGAAAAGAAAATTAAAGAACTTACATTGGCAAATAATAGGGCGCAGAATGAGATTGAATCATTAAGAGTAAGTGTAATAGAATTTTTTAAATCCAATTGCTAAACAAAATTATTTTTTAAAGAACAAATTAGAACAAAGCAATAAGGAAAGCATTAGTCTACAAAATGAATCACAGAATTTAAATATGGAAAAGAAGCAAATGCTGAACCACATTAGGGATTTAGAACAGAAAAATGATGATCTTGAAAGAGCACGAAGGATTATTGAAGAAAGTATAGCAGGAATAGAAACAGCATTCCACTCGGCTATTGAAAGAAATGCAATGTTAGAATCAGAAGTAGACGAAAAAGAGAATCTAAAAGAAAAATTGCAAAGATTGGCAGATGAAACCAGAGGTAAAAAACTTGTTATATTTATCAATCACATTAATAATAAAAGCTAAAGTACATTTATAATTCATTTTTAGATTTAAAGCAAGAACTTTTAGTAAAAGAAAAAGAACGAGCACCAGATAACGAACGAATTTTGAACGGATTTCAAAAAACTATCCTCGATTCGAATCGACTAAAAGAAAACGAGACTCAAACTACACCTGCAAAACGTAAGAAAATACTTAATAAATCATTTAAACTGTTTGAAAGGATAAGAAATCTTTCTAAATCAGACAATACATCTGATAGTGTCTAATTGACAAAAATATGCCTCTAGTAAATCTAGATAATTTTAAAAGTTAAACTAGTATTGATTACATAGAAACTATATCCAATATATCATTCATTTGCAGACTGAAGTTTAAACAGTATATATTATAATAGCTTTGTTTGCAGAGGCTATTCCTGTCTTGTTCTCGTCAAATGCTCAACCTTACTCAATTGATAATAAGCCTGTAAAAGGTGACAAATCCGAAATTCTGACAAAAAAGAATATTTAATATTGCAAACGCAAACGATATTTTGCCAGAATCCCAGGTTTTTCATCCTTCAAACGATTATTAACTGAGTGATAATGGTATTTACACAGGACAGGACAGTAAACAGTTTGGACAGTTCTGTGTGGACACGAACATTCCTTGTCTCATAGACTGTCTTCAAAGTTTCATGACAGATTTTAAGACGGTAATCATGAAAATAAACATGGCCTATGTCAAATTTCGTGGGCAAGACCTTGTTTATTTATCATAAAATACAGAAAATATGAGTGTTTATTTGAGTCAAAAAAATTAGAAACATCTTTAGAGTATCCAATAAGTAAATCCTTCAATAAAGTTCATTGAATGTTATATTTTAGGATTAATATAGTACTGATAGCTTCTATCTGTTTTGCATTTAACGCCATACTTAAAATATTTAGGTAGACAGTTACAGTAACCAAAATACAAAATATTGTCATGACAGTATCTGTGACAGTGATAATAATACTCTCTGTGTAAACACCATATTAGGGGTTGGCTATGTAAACAAAGCTAATAATAAAAAGATTTTCTATAGATACATAGCAGTTTTTTCTAACTGATTTGATTCTCAAATAATTTTACTAGAGACATTATGAATGAATGCTAATTTGATGCCATGATAGTCAATGTAGAATTCTTGCTTTTGGAGCTATGCTTGTTGGTATTGAATTTGCTTATTTTTGTAAATAGTTATTCTTAAAAAAATTAGTAGTTTTTCATTGAAATGTATATATTAGTAACAGTTTTTATTTATCTCGTGTCTTTATTATTATTCTCATTAAATGATAAAAATATTAGTCCTTGCAAAAGTGCTTCTATGCAGATTATCCTGTTATACTGTTTTTGAATATTTTCAGCAATACCTGTTATTGCTTCCAGATAAAGTAAATACAGGGTGTTTTTGAAATACATGTACATAATAGAACAGGTAGTAAGTCAGTGATTTAAAAAAACAAACGTCAATAATTTTGTCATGAAATCAATTTTAAATATTTGGAATATTCTCTTTTTTCTGGCCATTATTCTACGCTCCGCTGCGTCTAAACATGAACGAAAACCTCTTTGGAATTTACCTAATAACATTTCACTTAAACACCTAGTGCTGGTGCCGGACGTAAAATATAATTAAACTCATTTTGACAATTTTAAATAGTTTTAAGATAACTAATGGTACATTTCTAAGTCACCTTGGAGTTATTACGAAGGCGCATTATAATTTTTTAAGAGATTAAATTAAATGCATGAACAATAAAAAACATTTTCGAAAACAAATTCTCAAGAAAACATGTCCTAATATAGAATATAAATATAATATAAAACAAAAATGTCTTATTATGTGGCTTGAATAAAAAAGTACTATGTTAAAAAAAGTTGTTTATTGGCGCGGCTAGAACTAAAATCTAATTAAAGAATTATCAACTTCAGAAATTAACTCATCTGAAATATAATCAGATTCCTATCATCGTTATTATTATTATTGTTATGAACAGGCAAGCGACATAGTCGATGAAGCTATTCTTTTAGTTAGTGACAAAAATTATTCTAAATTACTACATGACAGTTAAAACTTATTATACTATAACCTATAATGAATAAAATTATTTTTTCCTTTTTCGAGTTCTTTATCCACTCTCGCCTTGTACTGAATTATGATCTGGGCTGAGACCGTTTGTTCCTGGAGACCATTCCACAGATATACAGTTCTGTTTGTAATGAAATGTTTTCTTTGAAGTTTATTACACATTTCTTTATCTAATTTCTTTGAGTGGCCTCTCAAGGCTCTTGATGTGCTGACCTGGAGATGTTATCACAGGTGTAATATCCGCTGGTTCACTTGTAAGTTTCTATCAAGTCTACTCTAGTTCTTCTATCCTTTAAACTTAAAAGTTGTTGTTTGGCTAGTTGATCACAATACTCAATATTTTGTAGGGTTGGTGGTATTTTGGTGACTCTCCTTTGTACTCTTCCAGCTGTTCAATATCTTTAACAAAGTATGTATCCGAAACGATCTCTGCAAATTCTATCTAGTTGTGTAAAGTTTGAGGATCAAATCTTCGGAATGGTCTTTAAAAGCTCTTTTGTGGGTTTCCCATTTTAAGTCTTTAGATATGATTACACCAAAATCCTTTTGTGTTTTGACTGGAGTTATTGCGTTTGTATTTATGGTGTAGTGTGTGGAGATTATTTGGACCAATGTGCAATACTGTACACTTATTTATGGTGAGGGGTAGTAGCCATTGCTGGGACCAGATTCATATTTTATTCAAGTCTGTTTCATTTTGTGAGAGCTTTCCAGTGGCTTGCAGTACATAAAAGTTGGCATCGAACTCGATGCTTTTGCATAATTCGCTGGTGTATAAAATAAATAGTAAGGGACCTAAGACCGAACCTTGTGGTACTCCACTTTCTACTGGATGATTGTTGGTCAGCTATCCATTTATTCTTACGCGGAACCACCGGTTGAATAAGAAACTCTTAATCCACAATAATAGATTGCCTCTTATTCCAAAGAGTTCCAGTTTCCTTAGCAGCCTTCTATGTGGAACTTTATCAAAAGCTTTCTAATAATCAAGATAAATCACATCAATTGGCTGGTTGCTGTCATTCCATAAACTGCATTACTTCTGTAATAATATTTTCCATTGCTTTACCGATACAACTTGTAAGACTGACTGGACGGTAATTTATGGGAATATTTTTGTCGTCTTTCTTATATAGTACTAATTTTTTCGTCAGTTTCGTAAGAAGTAGCAGCATCTTGCAAATGTGCACTATGTTGAGCTATCTCACTATTGAATGTATAATGAGCTTTCCAGAAGTTTCTCTTTTTAACACTGTATGTGGATCCAGTTTGGATGTTAAGTTGTGCAACCGCCTTAATTACTACTTGATCACTCAAACCAATAGGTGATTCAGAGTTAATGGATGTTATTAGTTTTTTGTCATTGACTAATAGTAAGTCGAGCATGGACTCCTGGCCATTGAGCACTCTAGTAGGGAAATTTATAAGTTGTTTCAAACTGGGATCTGGTATGATTTAATAAAATCCCTCGTTTCTATGTTGTTTTCAGTCAGTGTTAGAGTTGCCCAGTATATTTTCCGATAGTTAAAATCTCAAAATATAACAACTTTTTTTTGTTCTGATGATTTCTTGATCATATCCATAAAATGTGTATTTTCTTGAATTCCAACTGGTCCAGGACGGTAAATACATGACAGAAAATTGTTTGTTCTAGCAATCTTGATCTCAACATAATATTTTGAAGCAATATAATTATTATAATTTTCACTAAGGCTAGAATTAATTAGGATCCGATTTATGCTGTTTTATTTATATATTAATACACCTCCTCCTCTCTGATTTTGTCTGTAGCTTTGAAAGTGCGTATATCCTGGAACTGTTTATTATCGTTATTGACCCAGGTCTCTGTTAAAAATATAATAGTTTGTTCTTGGGTAACAACCAGCTTGGTAATAAGAGAATTAGTATTTGTGTACATCATAGATATTTCAACTATTAAAGAGTTATTTAGTTTTTTGGAAAACTTTTTTTAATAAACGGGACAATTTTTGGTACTCTGTTAAAATATTTGATCGTAATGTATTGTTCTCCAGCTTGCTTTCTTCTTTCTAATTTTGCTGCAACTTGTTGATGTCCTCTCTGATGTTTTGTTAGATCTGATTTTATGCAGGTACCTGAACTCTTGGGGATGTTGTTTTTGTTTCTTAATATTTGGGTTGCTAAGTCTTTTGTTGAAAGTATTACTTTGATTGGTCTTATTTTATTTTCTTCATATTTCCCTAAACGATAAAATGTTGTTATGCTTTTGCATAACTGTATTGTTTTGTACCTTTGTTTTTTCCTGACTTTTATGTTCTTCAGTATTGTTGCTTTCTGTTTTTGGAACCGCAAGTAGTAATATATTGTTTGCCTTTGATTGCGTTTCTGAGAATTCAGCTCCCAAAATTTGCCCTTATCACATGTTGTATTCGCTTAGACTATACTTCCGCTGTAACACGTACTGCTTCATTTAAAAGAATTTTTACTTCCGTCAATTTAAAGGACTTCTTTTAAAAAGTGGTCTTATTTAGGATCAATCTAATTTTATTTGCTTTAGTTCGCAATGGTACAGTGTGTCGATCTTAAAACTGTAAAACCCATGTTTTTGCGACTAATTCTTGTTTTTGTATATTCTTTAAATTTAGCCAACTCTGCATTTCCGGTGTTTTCCACGCTATGGTATAAAGTGATTTGGCCCGACTGCTTTGGTATATTACATTATTCATAACGATTACTGACTCGGGTTCTAACCGTTAAAGTGTAAATTTTTCAATGATTCGAATACACCCGAATTCATATGGTAATTTCATGATAGTCGACGTTTTTTAGCACTATTATTGAATCAATTACTGCTTGTCCACCCTACATTTAAAAGCAGGCGATATAGTTTCTTACAAGCAATTAACACAACGGAGAGCAAGAAAAGTCAAAGGGCTGTACTAAAAGAATCTACATTATTGAAAAAAGGGTTTGTTACAGGAAGCTTTTAGTGAAAAGTAGTTACAAATAATTTTATAGAAGAAAAACAAGGGCCTGTTCGACTTAATGTATAAACAACAACCCAGTTTTATTATAATAATCTATAAAT